GACGAAGTTTCTACGATATGGTGAAAAACGGTGCCCGCTTAATCGGCTCAAATGGCTTCTTACATAATATTGAGCAGCGATTTGTCGTTTTCCCGACGTGCGTTGTTGATTCACGTAAGAATTTTTAAATTCCAAATAGCTAATTTTATTTTATTACTTAATTCCTTACCAAGGTTATCCCTTTATTTGCTTGCGATGTTAAATATGTATTTTTGTATTCTACTCAACATTTCAAACACGATCATTCCATATTGCCTATACAAAATTTTATAGTTTTACTACTAATTTTTATGAGACAATGTTATGTGTTCGGACAAATCGTTTTCTTTTCAATTGAGGACTATAATACCAATTTTAAAGCTCAATTGATTTTCAAAAAATGTCGTTTTTCAAAATCGTTCTTTTATTTTCTTCACTCTCTTCAAAATATCGAAGGTACTAAAATATTCCTTGTCTTAATAGCTTGTCTTTCAATCGTCGTATTAAAATGTTTCTGCTTGATCAAAACTGACGTTAATATTAGATAATCAACAGATATGTAGTTATCATGTTTTCTTCCTGTGATGTTCAGTTGTGTATATTAGCCACCAAGTGACATTGAAATAAAAATTCAACGACGATAGAGCATCTCACATTTTTCCTGTGTGCTCTTCAATTATATAATTGCATGCTTCGTTATGATAATACCCACTTACCATTATTGATTTATATCCGAATCAGAGTGTTTGGAAAACGCGAATATCTCTCATCTAAGATACAAGAAAATGAGGAGACAGATTCAAGACTTTCGTTGGAAATTGCTTTCGAGCGAAGGATAACGAGTTACGAAACGTTGTCGAGGACGAAATTGCGTAGAGGAATAAATTGTGATGATTCTTCTCGAGGAAACAGATCGAAAACGTAAAAAAGAAAATGAAGAGTTTGCAGCAGTAAGGAAGCAGCTCCCATATTTAAATTGAACTGACTGCGAGGGAAAGAAAGATGTAAGTTCCATATCCAAAAATGCCTTACTTTATTATTGCAAACATTAATCGTCTATGAATTTGTAACACGTTTGGAAAAGTGATTTGATGTTGAGTTGGTTTTCGTTGGTTTGTTCGCAACACTGGGGAAAGCACTTACTGCAACAACCTCTTCAAATATGTTCTCTTCGAAACATTCGTTTCAGTGAAAATTAAAGCTTGCTTTAATAACAATTTGGTAATAATTGCAGCAATCCTTTCGAAACGACTCGTACTCGATCTGCAAACGCCATGTACATACTCGTGGATTACTTGCAAACATAACCTTACCACTATCCTATTCCAACGATTGTTAGCAGTGGCGTGAAAACTTGCTAGAGTAGAAACGAAGAGTCTAACGCATGATCATCCAATTTGTCGGCGAACTTTTGTGCGCGCGATTGCAGGTTATAAATACAAGACGTAACAGCAGACGTTTATGATCGCGATACTAGACGGTTAATTTACGACAACGGACGGGCTCGAACTGTTCGCTGTCTCTTTCGAGGAGAAGCAACGCGAGTTTGCGAGCGCGTACTTCTTAATCGGACAGTGTTTCAACTCGATACAATTTGGTATACGGCCCAGTAAGATTCGATTTATTGTCGCGTGTCTGTATCTCGAAGTACGACTCTGCAGCGAAAAGTAGAAACTTGTGTTATCCAAGTTGTTTCGAGTCATTTTCCTTGCGTTATCAATCGTCTAAGCGACGAATACCGCGATTCATCGACGACAACAATCCGTTATCTAAAGCGAGAAAGTAGTGAAACGACGTACGTACATCTGGTGTATGGCGTTTTCGATCGTTTCCTTGCATTCGTCGCAGCTTCGAAAATATCCTCTGGAACGGTCGTTATTCACGCGTCAGATACAAAGAATTGGTCAATTGATAGCCGATGGAATCGATGCCTCGACGCGTTTCTAACTTGCTCGCGTCAAACGTGTCTCGCATTCTCCTTGCATTCTCCTTGCACCCGCGCTGAAAATGAGTTGACTTTTATCTTTTCCGTTCGGAAAGTTACAATATCTTCGTGATTCATCTGGACGGTTCATTGCTCGATCGGTGTTGACTCCATGCCGCGGCAAAAGTTTCTACGAAAGCTAGGTCAGTTTCGGGTCTTTTCGGGTTTCCCGTTTATCTAGCGATCAGCTTGAGTCACCACGATGACTGTATACCGTAGTCTAGACGTTGCGCGCGATTATTCGTAGCCTTTTGCAAGGGTAGCGTCGCGGACTGCGGCTTGGAACGCGCGAGTACCATCGCAAGCAAGCGCAAACTCGGCAAAGTCGGACTTTCGTTTCGTTAGTTCGCGCAACTTGCACGGATAGACAAGAGAGGGAGTGAGAGAGAGAGAGAGAGAGAGAGAAAGTGACTCATCGCCAGTCGCCAGTCTATATCGCGATAGAAACAATAGCTGTCCACGTTTGGAGAGTCACGGCTGTGCCATGAGAGTGAATTGTTTCACAAATCTCAACCACTCGTCGGTCACGAAAAATCGCGATAGATTAGGTACGCTAATCGCGTTGTTTGCTGGTCGGCGCCTACTCGCTTTTTTCCGTTATTGTGTGCCGTCGCTTCGAAACGATTATACGCGAGTCGTTCGTAGATAAGTCGGGAGAGATCAACGACGACGCTCGACAACGCGACTTTGCAATGCAAAGATCGTCCGTTGTGTTCGATGTATCATGTTTATCACGATGTCACGAGCCAACACTATTGCTTTTTATTTATTCTTTCTTCGTTCTTTTTAATTGATGGCTACGTAATTGTCTGAAAAGTTGAATCCGTTGCTGAACTTTGCAATAACCAATCGACATGATAATATATAAAAGTCGACTGATCACGAATAGTAAGCTGAAACTCCTTCGATCCGCTATCTGCTACGTTCAGCTATTACGTAAAGTTGCTACTCTTATTACGACGTACTTCGGATAGCGCTTCGTTCTTCAAACACCACTAGTCAAGGAGGATGTCTATTCACATTTTTCTTCGTTTTCACCAGCCCTGTTTTTCGTCTAATCCAAGGCGTGCTACCGAAATTCGTCGTCGAGCCAACAACCGGCTTTTTTCACCTTCTCGCCAACCGGCCATCCGCTGGAATTATACTACGACCCACATTTACGATCGTTCTTTTCTTCCTTGTCTTACCTGGCGTGACGAGGTACCGTGAGACGAAACTTTCTAGCCCTGCTACTTACTCTTCTCCACTGATTTCATCTTATAAACTTGACGATCGTCGAGAAGAGCGTGCAGGGAGAGAATAGTTTGGCACAAAGACGACGCGACGGTGACGAGGCGATTCGCGTTCAAACTTAGCTCACGACCAACGAGTCGCGAATTCGTAGTAGCTTTCGAGTAATTTTGTACATAGCTTCTAATTAATTTTTAGCCAAGCGCCGCGAGAGACGCGATATATTGAGAAGATTTCAACGAAGAATAGATTCGTGATCTATTGATACCACGCGTAATCTGTTGACGCGCTAGCCTTTCAATATCCAAAATTATCAATCCTATTCTTTATCAGTTTCTCGATTTCATTATCCAGACACACTATTAACGTTCAATTCTCAGAAACCAAGTGATACTCTCATAAATTCATTAGTCGTAAAAATGACATAAACGATAGAAGCGATTCTGCGGAGATATCTGAATGAAGACTTTAAACGTCTCTATTCAATGTTAAGATCTTAGAACAGCTGGAACATGTGTTTGGCCATATTCTAAATGTTTATGTAGATTCTACGAAGTGTCAGATATTTATTAGAGAGGGTAATGGATTTTTTAAGTCACGTCGGTACATTGTTTATTTCAGTTTAATTTTAGCAGAACATTTGATCCTGGTTATTAGACACAATTATGAAGAGTTAATAGTAGATAAACTTTAGTAGAGAAAACTCACCCACAACTTTGACAATACAACGAAAATCACAACTTTTTGATCGAATTACACCAGGGTCTCCCTGCAAAATAATTTACCAGCTAATAATATTAGTAATTTGACAAGTTACAAGTTGTAGACTTCTCTTTTGCAACTCTACTTTACGTATCTCAATCGGATAACTAATCATTTGTATAATTCAGTTGCAAAATTTAATTCCTTTTAGTAATTTGTTATTGTTGCATAAGCGAATTTATTGTAACTTACGATTTGTAAAATTTCGCTAATATTAATCGGCTGGAGTAGAAAATCCCAGGTGCCCAAGTACTTCTGGACTACAGTGTACAATATACAATACGATTCGCGATATCGCGTTGTCTTTGGTGCACCAATTAAACAGAACTCTCTCTCTCACCGAGTAACGAGACAGTTAACATAAACGTAACTGTACTTGGTGGTACCGTAGATCGTTCATAATACGGAGCAACACTATTTCTGACAAGTAGCACTATAATTAGAGCACGTCGTGCACGCGGATGAAGAGGGATAGCCGGAAGAGGGAAAGAGAAAGAAAAGATCGTGGACATGTGTTAACGCGTGTGGAGGTGCCGCGGGGGCGAGAACCGAATCGGAGCTAACGAAAGTTTCCAAAACATTCGTCACGTGCCGATCGATCCGGGACGCGGTCGACCGAGCCACGGTATTTCTTTGTCATGTTTCGTTTTCCTTTTCCACACCGGGATACACCTACGTATTATGCTACTGTCGAGTTTTACTTTGCGACGTGTAACGTCGATTCTCGCGCGTGCACTCGCGAAGCTTTCTTTCGCGATCGATAAGAGGAAAGAAAGGCACAAGCGTTATCTTATCTAAAGCTTAATTTCATAAGTGCTAGTTTACCGGCGCTAGAAACGAGCGCTCCAGAAATCGATCGCATTATATTCTGTATTTCCTGGAAGTATACCCGGGATTTTCTGGAAATTATGGGAAACTTGATTTCTATAGCTGGATCTGGTGAAACAGATGCGATTTTCGCGTAGGGAAATTTCACGATTAATAACGGAGTATGTAGAAGCGTTAGCTCGAGAGAGACCAACCCAATATGTTTGCCCTGTTGCAGCTACTCGGAGTGTCAACGCGCAGAAACCTGATATTCGGTAGATGCCTTTTGAGAGCCGCTGGCCCGAATCAGCGTGGAACCATACAAAGGCACATGTACGTGAAGGAGATTCTAAAATATTCATAGTCGTCGTGGTCGGCTGTTAGTTGCGTACGTTTTTATATATCGCGCGTCGCCTCGTCGCAATGGCGAGCTGTGGGCTCCTCTCTCGGTTCGCCTAAATCAGAACGACGCACGATGGGTCCCCTCTTTTCTCTGGCTTGATCTCCCACTGCTCGCAACAACATGCCTCGGAATAAAATCCATCCACGAATATACGGAAACTCTTGCCGTTCTGTATCCTCTTCTATTCTCTATCCTCCATTTGCCGTAGTTTTGTTCACTAAACTTTGTTCATTTTCGTTTTATTTTTAGTTTTGCTGACGCTTTTCCGTTATTTATCATTTGCTGTCGAACCGGAAACAGCGGTATATCGCTTGTTAGCTGACTTATTGTACGATTAGAGAGACACAATTGTAGATCGTAGGAACGAGTTTCGCGCATCTCGCTCGATCAAACTGGCGATCAGAACCGCTCTCTGTCATCCTTTTTCCGATTCGAGAAACGTTCCAACATTCGAACGCCCGATAACGTCTTTACCTCGCGAAGAACGATCGTGTGAAATAGTAACGATCGTGTTTCCCTTTATCGTTACAGGGAATGTGTGACATGTTCATCCAAACACAGCAGACGAGTAGCGTCAACGGCAGCAGCAGCAGCAGCAGCAGCAGCAGTAACAACACCGTTCACCACCACAGCAAGAAACGCAAGTTGGAGTACAACGTGAGTCAGCCGGTGATCCAACACGCATTGGTTCAATCGACCGGCGACTACCAATTAGACAATACCGGTCTGCAACAACGGTACTCCGTGAACGGTGCTAATACCGCATTTAGCTCGCTGCACAACAATAATGCGCTGCAGAAGAGTAGCCCGAACCAACAGACCCTGGTACGAGCCTCGACGATCAAGCTCTTAGACACGTACCAACGCTGTGGCCAGAAGGTTGGTGCCACTTCCTCCGATTTTCTCTTACCGATAATTCTCTTCTGACCTGCGTGATCGCGTCGAGGAAAGTCGACTTATCCTCGTCTCGATCCTTCTTTCTCTTGGTCTCGTTTCCATTATCGTAGAAGACGAACGCTGGTCGTACGTTCGTAAACGCTTAGATCACAAATTTACAATCGAGAATAATGTATCTTTAAGCGAATTCTTGCTGTTTAAACTCTATATCTATCGAATCCGTCGCTTCTTTTCCTATATTTTATTCTTCCTTGCTATTGATACGCTCGATGAGACGCCGCTTACCGCTTGAAATCGCTATAAATAAGTATTAACGGTGAAGCCATTCTCCTCACCTAAAAACAAGCCCGAAGAAGACTTTCTTCCACGGTTTTGTAACGCGCAATCGTGCGATGGGACGTGTCCCGATAGGAAACAGAGTCCTTATGCGTGTTATTTATGAATGTTATCGTGAAATAAAATAGCCTCGGTTTTATTTCAAGCGTTTGTTACATCGTTCAAGGGGCATGCGACATCCTGAATTCCTAGGGACGTATCCTTCCAGGTGTTTCTCGTTCTCTTCACATCGCGTCCTGTGTCGTTCAGCTTGGTTCGAAGCAGCGATTTCTACTACCAGCTAGCGACAGAGTTGATCCGTTCTTTATCCGTGTATATACTTTATTTCGTCATCCAGTTGGTTTTGTCTGATAAGAAAACTTGCGTCTACCAGCGGTATTTTTCTCTGCTTATTTTTCACCATGCTGGTTTCCGCAATCGTTCATGATACAACTCGTTACGATCGCTAAAAATAGTGGCGCGTTCTTTCCTTTCGCGAGCGAACGGTCATCGTGCTCGCCATTTTTTCTCCATGACCGTTCGAAAATCGACTTTGTCATCTGGCCACGTTGGCTGTTTCGCAGAAGTAAGTAGTGGTTTTCGACGACAGTGATTCCTCAAGTCGTTTGGCAAAAGAATAAAAAAGGAACCAAGAGTTTTACTGAAAGAGAGAGAAAGAAAGAAAGAGAGAGAGAGAGAGAGAGAGAGAACGTAGTATCCACAGAATGATAATCGTCGGCGTTCGACAGCTACGGATTAATATCGTCTAATACCTGTCATGAGCCAACTTTCACAAAGGTAGCTTCGTTCCGCACGGACATACAGAGCCGTAAACAATTTTTGTCTTTGCGTATCTATCGTATTAAATGCTTCGTAAATCGATACGATGTTATTCTGACGGATAATTAGGGGTATAATTGATTTTCGTTGATCCTTCGATCGCGAAAATATTGTAAGCAAGTACAGATGTATGAGCGTTTCTCAGAAATTTTTCCATGTGGCGTAGTTAGATATCGATTGCCGTCAAGGCTTTCATTTCATATTTCATGACCGGCCATCGTGATGTATTTCCGCTATAGTGTTCGAAGTTTCTTAATGCTTGCTAAATCTCAATGTCGAAGATCATCATCGAAACGACGTAAATCGATGTGTATGCAAAAAACCATTACGTAGAACATTAATAACTAAATTTTTCTTCATATTCTACTGACTACACATCCCGTACGTGTTTGAAACTAATTTTTAACAACGTGCGAATGTCTGTGTGTATGTGTGTATTTATTTAACAGACGAGAGTCATGTTATTCATGTTACATCAATTCTTACGGATTGTGTCTTGGATTTGTGTTGCCTCGGCTTGGATTCATCAAAGTTTCGTCTTGCGTGTGTTCGTCGTTATCGTCCCTACCCAATTAAAGCTATCAAAAACTATCTACGATCTCTTAATACCCAAAAATTTTTGTATAAGGTATATTCCTCCTACAGAGAAAAACCTGGTCGAGGGAGGGTAATGGTGACGGCCTGGCAGTCCACTCCGCCAACGCGACGAACGCAGTGGGTAGTACTGTAGTGTCGCAACATCATAATCAACAGCAACAGCAGCTGCAACAACAACAGCAGCAGCAACAACAACAACAACACAAGCAGACAGGAATGACGGCACATAGCAAGCAAGTAACCAACGCTGCCAATGGAGGCGGTGGCAGCAACCCCCAAGGGGATGGAGATTACCAGTTGGTACAGCACGAGGTTCTCTATTCTATGACTAATCAATATGAAGTCCTCGAGTTTTTGGGCAGAGGTACTTTTGGACAGGTAAAAGTTTCTTTTTACTCTTCTGTATAAACTGTGCTATTTCTATCTGTTCATAGAAACTAAACGACATTTCGTGTTTGTTTTGTCCCTAGGTCGTAAAATGCTGGAAAAAGGGAACCAATGAAATAGTTGCCATCAAAATTCTGAAGAACCATCCATCTTATGCGCGCCAAGGGCAGATTGAGGTGAGTTAGGATATGAATGATTGATCAGTTTTATTCTTAAGTCATGACTAAATGAAATTTTTATCCTGAATAGGTCTCCATCCTGTCTCGACTCAGTCAGGAAAATGCGGATGAGTTCAACTTTGTGCGCGCTTATGAGTGCTTTCAGCACAAATCCCATACCTGCTTGGTCTTTGAGATGTTAGAACAGAATCTGTATGATTTCCTGAAACAGAATAAATTTTCACCCCTACCCCTCAAATATATCAGACCGATTCTTCAACAAGTACTCACCGCTCTTTTGAAACTTAAGGTAAACTGCGTTTATGTACTTACATGCTTGAACAATTTCGTGTTAATTTTTTTATGGATTACCGAATAACCTTATGAATATATCTTTTTAGCAATTGGGGTTAATTCACGCAGACCTTAAGCCTGAAAACATTATGTTGGTGGATCCAGTTCGTCAGCCTTATCGTGTAAAAGTTATTGATTTTGGGTCAGCTTCCCATGTATCTAAAGCTGTCTGCAACACGTATTTACAATCGCGATACTACCGTGCACCTGAAATTATACTTGGACTTCCATATTGTGAAGCAATAGATATGTGGTCGCTCGGCTGTGTGGTTGCCGAATTGTTTTTAGGATGGCCTCTATACCCTGGTAGTTCAGAATACGATCAGATTCGATACATAAGTCAGACGCAAGGCCTACCAACGGAACACATGTTAAACAATGCCAGCAAAACAACAAAATTCTTTTACAGAGACATGGATAGTAAGTATCGTACTTCATAACCATCACGAAATTGATATTCTTGACGAACAGGTACAGATAACGTTAATTGAATTGCAGGTACATATCCATTTTGGCGATTAAAAACACCGGAAGAGCATGAGGCTGAAACTGGTATTAAATCAAAGGAAGCGAGGAAGTATATTTTTAACTGTCTAGATGATATTGGTCAAGTTAATGTCCCGACTGATTTGGAGGGTGGTCAACTTTTGGCAGAAAAAGCAGATAGAAGAGAGTTCATTGACCTCTTGAAGAGGATGCTCACAATGGACCAGGTAGTAATATCTAGTTCATGCTTTGATTCCATGCAGCGATCGGAAGACAATGGCTAATTTCTAGAATAGGCGAGAGTCATTCCTTATCTATCGTGTATCCTTATTATTTGTAGGAGCGCCGCATAACACCTGGGGAGGCTCTGAACCATGCCTTTGTTACGCTGGCCCATTTAGTCGATTATGCTCATTGTAACAATGTTAAGGCTTCCGTCCAAATGATGGAGGTTTGCCGACGAGCTGGCGACTTCACTGCAAGTCCAGCGCATCATCAAGCTCCTCCAGCACCTCAACCACCACCACCAACATCATTGGTAGCTAATTTCGTGCCGACGACAAATGGTAGTGCCGTAACTTTCACCTTCAACAACCAGTTGACCAATCAAGTACAGCGATTGGTTAGGGAACATCGGACTGCGCAAACAGGATATGATAATCTGGTTTGTTCATAATTTTTCTCGGTACCCTTAATCGACGCAATGTTTAATATCGTGTTTCGTGAATTTGAAAATTCAGTTTTGATCTTTCGCTTTCGCATTTTAGTTTTATTGTTTGTTGTTTATGTTCCTTCATATTATATATTTTGTATATGGAGTTTATTTTCTATCACGGTGTATTCTTTCTTTTAGTATCAAATATACAGTAACAGTAGTCGCCGTGCGACTCAGTACAGTAGCTCGTCAAGTGGATCAAATAGCGGACGAAGTGGAGTGCACGACTTTCCACATCAATTGGTGCCTGGTCTACTTTGTCATCCACCCAGTTATCAGACGATGCCAAGTCCTGCAAAACACGTAGTTGTTGCTCAAGTAAATAAGACACTTTCTATTTTAACTTAGTTACATATAATCATATTGTATATAATCAAATGTTTCAAAAAAAATTCATGATCGTTTAATTGTGCTTTACACGTTTTACAGCCTCCACAAGCGCAACAAGGTCCGTTACAAATCCAACCATCGATTATATCGCAGCAGGCTGTTGCTGCTGCAGCTGCAGCTGCCCAACAACAGTATGCAGCGGTTCCCGTATCTATGGTGGAAACTGGACGACAAATGTTACTAACCGTAAGTATTCTTGAAACGAACAAATGTCAAAACGTTTATGAATTATAAATGGCCAATTATATTTTATCCTTGGATCACAGAACGCTGTACAAACCTCTTGGCCTGGTGGAAGTCGTCAAATGGCCGCTATCGTACCATCTTGGCAGCAGTTACCACCGCAACATGCAGCCATACAGCAGCCATTACTGAGTGATGCCGGAGATTGGGGAAGACCTCTTATTGTCGATAGCTCTGCTATTCTACAGGTAAACCTTATTGCCTTACTTAACAGTTACTTTTATAAGTCGGTCGGATAGGTTTGTAACCAATCTCCCGTGTTTTGGGGAAGGATCAGAGGCCAGTATTTCCTGTCACGGAAGTATACAATACCAGTGCCCTTGTTGAGCATCCTCCTCAAGGTTGGGGCAAGCGTAGTGTTACGAAACATCATCAACATCATGTAACTGTACCTCAGCAGTCTCAACATAGGCACGAGCATAAAAAGGAAACGCAGCAGTTAAGTCCAGTGAAAAAGAGGGTAAAAGAAAGTACTCCACCGAGCAACATGAGACGGCATTCACCTTCCAGCGGTCATTGGCAACAGCAACCCATGCAGCAACACCATCACAGCAGCAAACACAGCAGTAGTCATAATGTAGAACACCATCAAGTTACATCTGGTCGGCAGCAAACTATTACAATTCACGATACACCATCACCAGCAGTTTCTGTTATCACGATAAGTGATAGCGACGATGAAACACCGGGCAAGTGGTAAGTTAATTTAATTATTTTCGTAGAATATTAGAAAGTAGTTAGCAATTATTGTCCGCAATTATAAGATTAGAAGAGAACTGCTGTTTTGTGGGTACCGTATCGAAAATATTACAGCCATCTTGAATTTTTATTATTTTTATTACTTTGTTATTATCTTGCTTCGTTAAAAGTTTTTTTCTGTAGCTCTTTGAATTTAAAAATATGATTATCCAGTGTCTCGTTTACAAGTGTCTATGATTTTGTAATGTTGTTTTGTATTGTGTTTATTGAATTTTGTCGATACGTTCCAATTATAAGTTCCAATCACGATGTTTCCACTGTGAAACATATTTATTAGTAATTTATTAGAATAGAAAGTAGTGGAATCATGCATGAATATCATTGACAGCTGTGGAGATCAGCAATGTGGAGCCTGTCAAAATTTGGCAACTCGCCTGTCTGGCGATGGACATCCAGTCCGCGAGGAAGTCATTCGAAGGTATATGAATGTAACATAGTATCACACAATCACACACCATAGCATCGATTAATGGTTAATAATCGCTAAGAACATGGTATAACACGAAGCTTCATAACACATTGAGAAATTAATTTTGTAAAACAATTAACGTCGTGTTACTGCACCTGTACAAATACATAAATTGTAGGACTAAAAATTGTATATAATAAAGACAATTTAGAAACACGATTGTAGCGCTTGAAGTGTCAATTGTCTCGACGGACTAACAATACTCTGATTTACAGCTCTAGCGTTTAATGCCATTTGTTCATGCTGAGTGTTAACGTATTTTGTATTATATGGGGATATCTGTTCTCCCTAACTGTTTCATGTGTAACTTACCGCGTATGTTTTTTATTTCTAGTACGCAGTCAACACCACGCGCGGTGCAACCAATACAGCAAACCCATTCAAGTAGTCAGTCGCATACTAACGGCCACGTAACAACGCATAGTACATCTCAGAGATCGCAACGAAAAAATATTATCAGTTGTGTAACTGTCGGTGACAGCGATGGCGAAGCTAGTCCAGGTCGAGCGCATAATCATCTATACCAACATTTACCGCAACATCCTCAGCATCAACAAACTACGCAGTTAATTAAACACGAACCCCAACAGCAACATCACGTCAGCAGGTAATTACATCAACGATCAAAGTTTATAATATGATTCGAGACAGTTGTGTACGAAGATAATGTGTTGTTGATTGCAGTAGCAGTTCTGGATATTCGTCTCAATCGCAAAAGAAACGTTTATTGGCCAAAGTACAGTCCGAATGCAATATGGTGAATGTTGCGACAAAACCGGAGCCCGGCGTTGAGTACCTTGCACCACATCCGTGTCACGCGCCAGCCTGTAAAGAGCCACCGACCTATCAGGTTAAATTTTAATTCAAATTACAATCCTTTCTTTCGTTTCTCGATCTTTCCTCTCCGTTTTCTATGTTATTCTATTTTATATAATTTTTATTCCTTTTTTTCTTCTTCGTTGTCCTTTTTCTTTTATAATTAATTTAAATTTCCAACCGAAAGTTTCTGGGAGTATCGAGGAACAAGCTCGACGATCCTGATCTGTATTCATTGGGATACCCCCCCTCCTCTATCTTAGTAATCTTTCTTTTGGAAATGTTTTTCTAGGATGATGCCTATGACATGCATGACTACTTCTTGCAGTATGTGACCACGAGTAGCGCGCATCCGCACCTTCAAGAGCAACACATTGTGTATACGACCGGCACGGACAAGCGGGTATCATGGCCTGGAAAGAGAGCTGAATACAAACACGAGTACGTTCAACCACCGGCTGCTCATTCCAGAGACCACCAGAAATGGGCGGTAGCGAATACTGTGCATCAGTATAGGTAAGCATCGCATCGCATGTTACAACGTTTGATTTACACGACACTCGAAGCATGCAATATATCATACACAGATAGATTTAGAAAAATCTGGCAGATAAATACATAGAATAGCATAGTTAAGCGAGATTTATATGCACGTAGTTATTGAACGCATGTAGGTTTTCTCTTTGAATGAGAAATGACCAAACCGATGACAGGCAGCTCGTGTATACGTTGTCGAGACAACAGACGGGCTGAATATCATGATCGGGCAAGTAAACAGCATGAATTTCTATGTTATTTCCGGAAAGTAAAAGACCGAGAGTAAAAGTGAATCTGAAAGGATCTCGGAATGAATCGATCTCCTGATTCTCTGTCGGTTTGGTCTCTGTCCTCTTAGAGAGACTTCTTACAGTAAGTAAAGAGCGCATGGGAATTGCATAACGAAGGGATGGACTTTGTTTTGGGTTTTGTAGGCAGAGCCAGGTGGTGGGTTCGGCAGCCCATCCGGGACATACCCACAGTCACCATGGGCATCCGGCCCACCTCAGTCCTGGGGGCGGTGGCGGGGGCAGAAGTCCTGCAGGGGGGCCTGTAATAGGAAGTGCCCAGCATCTGGGACAGCCCCTGTACCAGGAGTACGCCCATGTGCGTTCAAGAGCCCATGCCGTGCCACCCCCGGTATACGTAACGGCCGCGCCTTCTCAGGCTCCCACTGCTATCCAGCAGCAACAAGTGCCCACCTATCAGGGATTCACACCCGGGTGGGTACCTAGACACCTAGTTGATGCATGCATGTGTGTACCATTTATTATATTTTCGTTCTAGTGATAGTTCATCGTATGTTGTTATATTTGTGATCGTACTGTAGTAGTTATTGTTGGAATATAGTGCGTTCCCGTGCAACCGTTTTATCTCGTTCTCAATGGCATGTAACGTTGTGAAAGATCGTGTGATGTATTTATATAATTCGGTCGGATAATCGATATTCTTCTCTAAAAATGATCTGAACGTTGTTTCCATGTTTTATTTTTTATTTTTTATTAGTATTGTTCTTTTTCCTTATCAAAATGTAATAGATATACAATACATATTTTTCGTACACTTATTTTGTACAAAGTAGACCATTGATTGCCTGCTTAGACAATTGCACAAAGATAAAGAAACGTTTCGTAAGCATTAACGAACGATGTATTATATGTAAAGAAAAAAAAAGAAAGAGAAAAAAAAAGAAATTTGTCGATTACTCGATTATCTTAAATGTATGATATATACGTATATATAATGTTATTTACTTATAAAACCGTATGCGTGTGGAACGAAGAAATGATCTTTATAAAACAAATGTTTCATTTCCCTTTTTAGAGCATTACGGAGACTTTCTAACGTTCATTATCCCGTTTTTTACAGCTCGTCTCCATTAACGTTGTATGATTCTAGTCGAGCGTTGCCACCACCAGCTCATCACAGCTCGGCCAGACCGTTGCTGGCAAGTCATGCAGCGCATCCACTGCCTGCACATATGCAGCCAACAGCCGTTTATGGATTGGCCCCACTTTCACCGGCCAAACATCAATATCAACCTTCTGGTTTGTGGTTCACCGAGTAAATTATTCCTCTGTCTGGTTTCAGAAGAAAAAATCAAACGGCGTGCGAGTACTAGTTTTCGCCGCTTCTTTTTTTTAACGAAATTTTACAAGGTCGAGAAATAACCGATCGCATCAAAGATAACCGTACGAAAGGAAAAAGAGAACCCATCATCTTTATCGAATTCATTCCTCGCGAAAGTGTTTTTTTTACTAGCGAACGAAGGGGTCTCTTCGCGATACTATTATCAGCTATTGAAAACACAGAGTAAAAAACTAGGCTTGTATTGTTACGAAAGGAATAAAGAAATCACGACTGGAAAGAGTCGACGGAGTCTCAAGACAAGACCGAAGTCGTTCTTCAACTCAACTTTTTGACAATCCGTCCTTAAAAAGCGATCGCCCCCTTCGAACTGCCAGTCTGTGCTATTACGAAAAAGATTATCAAAGCTCTACGCATGATTTTGATTGACAAGGAAGTAAATAATATGGCTTCGAACGTCGATAGACTGATCGCGTTTGCGTCGTGTCCTAATGATTTCATTAGCGTATTTATCACATTCTCATCGTGAAACATGTTATCTTTTTCCTTTCGTTCGACGATATGAACATCGTATTCGAAACGAAAAAGCAAGTGAAAGTAACGAATGGAGAAGAAAAAAGAGCAGAACGATAGAGAAAAGAAGCTTTTTGATGCTTCTCGTTGCGCAATCGTTTCCTCAGTGAACCATTGCTTTCATGATTTGTATTTGTATTATTTTTCCAAATATTATTTGACGATCGATGTACAATTTTGTCCGACTTAGATGGCGCTTATGTTATATACGTGGCAGTATATAATATAATTGACATGTTTTGTATGATTCTGAAGAAATAGTGTTGGCGCGTCAAAAAGAATTTTTACGAGGTCATACGAACGAAAAAATTAGAGGAGACCAGACGATTTTATCGTAAAGTTTGAATCTGCATTATTTGAAATTAAGCGCAGTTTAAGCAGATAAAGAGAAACATGTTGGGTGTCGGTGATTTGTCAAAACTGTTCTACGGTGTAACAGTTCAGAAGTTATCTTTTATTGAAGTTCAACGTTAACGGGAATAAATTTGCATTTCCTTATGGTATGATATATATCATATACATTACGTTTTTAGTACTCGTTAACAAAGTTAATCTTAGCGCGGTATAACCCACGGTTATTAGCCGATGGAATTTTCGTCAGACTTGAGATTTTTGTTATCGAGCGTGACAACGCTTTAATGTATTCTAAGCGTTCTCTTTTAAACGGGTCATCGACGTTGATGAAGATTCCCGTTCTTGTATCTAATAATTGAAAGCGAGTTGATCAATTACACGCATACACACAATCATAACATGACACATTGATTTGTTGTAAAATGTGTTCCGGATTTTATCGCTAGATTTATTTCAAGCTGTCTCATAGGTATGCTGGTGTAATACCAAACACTTCTTTCCAATGACGTTACTATACGAACGTAAAGCGTGTCTGAGTTTAGAATGGAATTCTTCTGTTTTGATTCGAATACATTATGGGTATATTTGATTGCATGGTTAAATTTGTATTTGACAAAAGCTGTGTTTTCTCGCAGCAGCCTCATTATTTATTTTTATTACGTAATCAATCCTATTCTTCTCATCATAATTATTACTATTACTATTACCATTACTACTATTATTATTAATTGCAAATAGGCATCACCGACTTTAAGATAATTGCAGTAGCAGTTTGTAGTCATTTTTTTTTTGTAGATACCACGTTCGCGATAGATTTGCGTTAGATTCGTTTGAAATGAGATTTTTTCCCTCTGCAACATTTTTCAGCGTTGAACGATCGTCGTACAGCATATTAACATTAACTTTTTCATCCATCTGTTGCGTTTCAATGTTTTGCATTTCACCGAGGATTGTAGTTTTAAAGTGTATGTATTGAGTATATATTGCACAAATCTGCGGTACACAACGATTAACATGAGCAACAACAAAAAGATCTGTGTACAGTAATGACGCAAATTCGCGTTTGAAGAAAAAGGAACAAAACGAAATATACATATATTCAATTTTCGCGAGATTCTTAGTTCAATCGCTTTTGTCGAAAAAGAAGCCTTCGTTGCAAATATCTGTTATAACGTCGGATTGCACACATGTTTTCTTCAACGTACATTTGATTCTTTCTATTCCGATGAGAGCGTCAATGGTGCAAGTTTTTAACAATCCCCATTCGTTTTTTCTCCCTCATCGAATCATGTTCTTCCTTCTCACATTTTTCCACGTCAGTATAAAGAAAGCAATTTCTAATATCTCACAAAATGAGAAAAACTATATAACATATATACATGTATAATGTATATTATTGCAATTCCTTGAGTAAACTGCATTCGATGTATATGTGCATGCCCATATGTCGATTTCTACGTATAATTATCATGAGTGGTTCTCCTCCTACATTTTAACGTTCGAACAGGTGTAAGAATGGATTTGCACACATTTTACGACTTGTGAAACAGTTTCAAAAACGTTTTTCTGCGTGCTGACGTGTATATCGTGGTTTTTAATGGAATGACGCTTAGGCATTGTTTTGCTAATTATTTTATATACATAGCTGTATGATAACGTACGGGATATTAGCTGTGGTATGTTGATTAGAGTGAAACCATGTCCAGAGTTTAATTAGAAGTATTTTACACTTAGAGCGAGAATGTGAGTGAGCAAGTCGAAATGAGTAAACGAATGTGATTAGCGTGATTAGTGTGATTGATAAGGAGAGGAAGAGAGCGAGAGAACAGTGTTAGAGAGAATAATAAAATGACACTTTAAATATGTTACCGATATCCTAAAACAACATTTTTCAATGTCTTAAAAGATGAATATAACGTGAAGCTGCTAATCCATTAATTTCGATCGGATAAATAGTCGTAAAATTGTTAATATTTTTAGAAATTAATTAATACTATTTATATCAAAGGGCACCTATGATAAAAACCTGGCTAATTTCCTGTTTTATTCGCGAAATACTAAACAGTCTACTGAAACATTTGTTTGTCTTTTTTTTTTTCTTTTTATTAATTTTCCAAATTTTCCAAGCATCACGTTTATCAATTGCGCGAATTGGCTTCGTCGATATATTTCTTTACGCGTATTATATGATGTAAAAATTAAAGAGAAAAAGAATTGTGTAACCAAGTCGATGTGCCTGTTTAACAATTAATCATATTTACATTTATATTTACTGCAAACGAGTAAACTCATAAAGAAAAACCGTGTATAGCGAAAGTTGCAGTAAAACAGAAAACAAAGAAAAGTTACAATCAGCTTGTAAGTGTTACGTATTTTATCGACCACACACGGTACGAATATACAATTATAATTATACAAACACGTTTGCGCGCCTACATGTATATATGTATGCTTCCATATAAACCGTAGAAATTATATCGCGTAGGAGAAAACATACCGTTTCTTCTCTTAAGTCGTGAAAAAACAAAAGTCATATCCTTAGATCTTTCGCATTTTACGTAGAAAAGAAAAATGGGAAAACTGTTGTTGCGCGTGTGTATGTATAGGAACATGCCTTTTTTTTTTGTCGCAGGAATCGATACATGCACAAACACACACGTAGGAGATGTACATGCGACAGTTCTACGCATCATAGTCATACCATCATCATGCTTCATTTTTTTAGCCTCTGTACATTCGAACGTATTTAGATACCTGTGTCACTAGATAAGCAAAGGGAACTTCAGTCAAGTTTCTGTTTCTTGTTTTTTCTTTTTTTTTTTTTTTTTTGCATCCAAAGAGCAAGTTTTGACTGACGATGTAATATTTGTAATGTTTAGCATAAGACTGTAATTGTCGATCGTGGATTCGATCGTTCGAATTAATCACTGATAATATCCTACGTATAAGTATGTTATTTTATTATGTTCACGTTGTTATTAGCGTCGAATATGCAAAAGTATTTGGGTAGTAGATTTTAGGTGGTCAGCTTTGTGGAGTCGGATGTCGGTTATTGTCTAACAGATAGAATTATCGTTGTCGATGTTTATTACTAATTAACAGCTTTGGGTTTAGAACGTATACGCAAACTACACAATGGTCCTACGTTAGTTTCCCACTTTTTAGGTGTAGATCGTCAGTCAGTACGAGCTCAGAGTCACGTTAGCGCAGTCATTGTTACTTTAAGTAGCACGTTTTTAAGCAGTGTACGAGTAGATAAATAAGCACGTCATTGAACGAGTATCTAATTAATCTTAGGCTACCATGGAAACTGTACGAGAGGGCAATAAGAAGAACGATTGTTTTCTTCTTTTGGAAACGTACCGTAACAGTGACGATGGTTCTAGTTGTGATATTTTATTAATATAGGGTTTGTGTACGCGATGTTATTTTGGTCAGGCTTTTCAGAAGGCCAACACGTGCATGACGCGATATATGTGTAACGCATAGAGAAGATACTATAGTGTTTTTTGTCGTTAACAATCCAGGAAGATTATTGTCATATGGTTGTTACTTCCGATAGGGTGATATGACACGTTACCTTAGCTGCTCATCGTCTAACTTGTTCCAATTCTTTCACGTCATTCTTCTTCATGGGCTTTCCTTGTTTTTCACGGATTTCGCTTCGAGTGATAACGACACATCAAATCATGTTTGTGATAGATTTTTACTTCCATACTTCTTTGCCATTTTAAAGTGGAGAATTGTGTTAATAGAACACGGTCTTTTTAACGTCGATCGTGATGTTTCACAACATTGTTGAGCGCGAGCGTAACAGTTACCTCTTCCTTTCGGGTGACACGATGATACATAAACATAACAAAAAGAAAAAGGAACACATGTACAAAATACACCTACATAACACACGGATCATATATAACGTGCGCGTTCGAGCGCACACTTATACATATACACTCGAAGCTATAGAGATATAATTATTTTAATCATTTTTAAATTTGTACATACATTTCTTATCGCATCAGGGCAGAGGGGAGCGGAGAGATTTCTTAGTGTCTAGGTGTAGTGCCTAAAATGTTAATGAGATTGTGTCCAATAGAAAATTTATTTAGTGTGGAATTTCTAACGTTCGATTCCGAGTGCTTGTAAGTGGGACGCGAATTTCGTTCGAGCATGTTTGACCATAAAATTAGAAAATAGGATGATTTGACGAAAGCGAAAGCATTTTCCAAGGCTGATAGAATTTTTCCGTACAAGCGCCCGGAGTCGTGGAACGAATAACGTTCGACGAGCGAGTCTAGCACTGTTAATAAACAGATACTCGCGTTGAAATGGCCAGAAATGAATAAAAAAGGAGCGAAAGAATGAATGAAAGAGAAAAAATGGAATCAAAGGACATCCGCGGATAAAAATTATGTTTCTTTGTGGACTTAGAATTTAATGTTCATCGCGTTGTATGGATAGTTCGTATAAAATTATATATATATATATATATTATATATATTATCATTATAAAACAAAGCAACTGACTTTTTGCGAGGAATAGATAGCGTAGCTACTATAAGTATAGGAGAGAATAACATATTTTTGGAGTTATACTACTAGAGGATTGATATTGTATTGTGCTCTGTGAGTTCTTAAACGTTTGTCTTCTTACGTTCTTGGTCTTTAATCGTCGAATTGCTCATCACGATCGGACCACATTTACATGTAGAAACGAGAATTATTAAAAGCAAACGAGAGAAAAAAATACAACTCAAGAGGCGTATGCCATCGATATGTATATCTTATGTATGTACGATACTTGTTCTAAATTTCGGTTCGTCGCGACATGTCACTAGAATTTTGCTCACGATCCATGTGTACGTACTCTTCGGTACGTGCGCGCGCGATCTCGTAGATTATATACGTGCAAGAGAAATCACAATAGTCTGTAGTATTTAATTCGTACCTCGACTTCTCTGAACGATTCGATATTGAGAGACGAACCATCAAGACACACGTGATAAAGGTATTTCACCGTTTTTTTTTTTTTTTTTTTTTTTAAATCT